GGGACAGGTGCTGAATCGTGTTTTTGCCGTGCGTGTGGAATTAGCCCTGTTTTTGCAAGAGCACCAACATTGTCATGCAGATTGCTTCAAAAATTCTGAGTTCATTCTCATTTTAGCGTACATGGCTGATATCTTCGCAGCTCTCAATCATCTCAATCAACAGATGCAGGGCGGTGGAGTCAACATCATCGAAGCGGAAGAAAACCTGAAGGCTTTTCAAAAAAAGCTACCGTTATGGAAACGACGAATAGAGAACGATAACTTTGCAAACTTTCCCCTGCTAGACGACTGTGTAAGTAAGATCGAAGATGTATCTGGAATCAGAGACATTTCTGTACCCGTGGAACTGAAGAAAGCAATTGCCATGCACTTAGATTCACTTGCAAAGTTTCTCGACGAATACTTCCCTACAAGAGAGTCATATCCAGCATGGGTGAGACAGCCGTTCACGTTTAGTGTTGAGACAACAGATGTCAATGATGAATACCTCGATGAAATCATTGAAATTCAGCAGAGCCAGGTTCAACAGCAACTCTTCAGAACAACAATGCTCTCAACGTTTTGGTGTCAACAAATGGTAACGTACCCTGTTATTGCTAAGAAAGCTCTGGAGATTTTCATACCGTTTGTTACAACATATCTTTGCAAGCAATCCTTTTCGAGGATGCTGGACATAAAAACGAAGAAAAGGAACAATTATGTCTCAAACCTATGTAACCATAGTAATTTTGTGTGCAAAAAATAAAATTGTAGTTTACAGACAACACTACTTTAGAATATGGTTAGGAATTATTTAGAACACAAAAATTTGGATACAGCTCTTGGCAATGACCTTTTGAAATTATTTGTTTTTTCCAAGACACTATTTTCAAGTGGTTATCAAGTACTCCAGGATGAACACCCTGTTAGAGTCTTCTTTATAAGTCATTTGATTATTCTTTTTATATAACACTGATTTATTTCCATGGATCCAGATTTCACAAGCACATTCTTTTTTTAAAAAGACATGTATTCATTTCAGTATCGCTGTAAAAGAGGGCAGAAAAGCAAAGAACATTGCAAGAAGGATAAATGTTGAATAAAAATAAAAATGCTTCAAATATGCATCAAATTCAAACCTAACCCTAAACCTTTTTCACTGAATTCCTCCATCCAGTTCTATTCAATTCTCCAGCCAGATTGTTCTTTCCAGCTTTGTTTTCTTGGCAAAGTGACTGTTCAGAATTCTCTACATTCCCTAATTGTATTCCTCTGATTGTCATCTCATCTGTAATCAAAGGGGACCTAGGAGAAATAGTTTGAGAAACCTCAGAAACTGTGCTTCAATTTCTGTGTTTACTCAGATAGTACATACAACTTCAGTAGATGAACATTTTTATGTAGAATCACAGAATTATGGAATTGGCAGGTACCATGATCTATATACCAACTATGTGCAATGTGCAGGAAAACCAATTAAAACTATCTGCAAATGATAGCAGTTCAGCTTCTTCTTAAGCACTTCCATAATGGAGAATCAGCAACCTCTGTACTGAATTAGTTCTATGGTTATACTGATGTTACTATTAGGTAATTTCCCCTACATTTAAACAAAATCTGATAGCTGCAACCTATACCCAATATTTTTGGTCTCTGGTTTTATGGCAGCAGAAAAAAATCTGTCACCATCTTCCCTATAACATCTTTTAATGTATCTGAACAATGATATCATGTTTCCACTCAAACTTTTTTCACTAGCCTAAAACACCCCCAATTCTTTCAAATTGGCCTCATAGGGAGTGTCCTCATGTGTCTGTTATTTTATTTATTATCTGGTCCATTTGTTAAGACTGCTCAACTCCAAGAAGACTTTGGAGTTTCGACGGCATACATTCAGTCCAATGCATATATTTAAAACACAACTTAAAAACCACACGACTGTCTCAACCAAAAAAACACACACTCCCAACATGGAAATAAAACTCAACAGGGGAAAAGAACCGGGTCTCAGGTGACTTCCACAAACTAAAGAGAATGGGAACCATGCATATCTCCAGGGAGATGCTGTTCCAGAGGACAGGGACTGTGAAAGAGAAGACACATTTCCTCGGTCCTATAAGATGGCAATATTTAATTGTTGGGACCTGGACAGTACTCACTCTGCCTGAATACACCAGATGGGTAAAAACAAGTAAAAACAGCTGGTTCCTCAAATAATTATCTTTATTGTCCTCTGAAACTATTTAAATCAGATTTTCCAGAATATGTTTCTGGAAATTGTATAGTATTTCAGTGTGTTCTTATCAGTGGAGAGTAAAGATTGTGCTCATCTTTGATATAATGCTTCTTTTAATGCAGGCCAGAACTGCATTATCCCTTCTAATAGTTGTCTCACGCTGCTGCCTCATGTTCAGCTGGATGACAATAACCACATCCAGCTGTTACCCTGGTGAGGTAGTCCATATGAGAAGCATAACCAGAAGTATTAGTTCTAATTTTTAGTGCATGTTTACATTAACAGAATCTTGAAATATGAAACTATCTCTCTCACCCGCACCTTTATAGTCACCTTTATGGAAACTCCCTCTTCCTTCTGCAGGCTCAGTTGCCACTTTTCTGACCATTGACTTGTCTGTGGTATTTCCTCCTGTTTCCCAAGGTCATTCTCACAGTAGCATTACAGCAATGTGGTATAATCTCCCATATTATGTGATCTATTTTTTTCACCCCAAATTTAATACTTTACATTTCTCCATGCTAAGGACATTTTGTTGCTCTTAACCCACCCTCTCCAGCTGTCCAGATTTAACCCCAATCTTGTTCCCTTAGCTAATTCCTGGAATCCTCATTTCTTAAAGAAAGGAAACACATTTCTTCTTCTCCAGTCCTTTAACACCAAAGATAATTGACGTAAATCCTGAAAGCTCTTTAGTTCCTTCACTATTCTGAATTATTTCATCAGACCTTGGAAACTTGAAAGCATTTAGCTGAAAGATGCCTTTAACCATGTCCTTACTGGCTTTCACCATCTCCTGCTTGTTCATCCTCATTTGACAACCAGACATTCAGTGACTGTTCAGACTCATGATTAGCAATAGCAATAGCAGTTAGACTTATATACCGCTTCATAGGGCTTTCAGCCCTCTCTAAGCAGTTTACAGAGTCAGCATATTGCCCCCAACATCTGGGTCCTCATTTCATCCACCTCGGAAGGATGGAAGGCTGAGTCAACCCTGAGCCGGTGAGATTTGAACAGCCGAACTGCAGAACTGCAGTCAGCTGAAGTAGCCTGCAGTGCTGCATTTAACCACTGCGCCACCTCGGCTCTGATTTTGCTGAGCAAGTGGTTCTTATGACTGGTTATTGTAGAGTGCACCCATGGTTACATGATCAAAACCAAGCACTTGGCAGCCAACTCACAAATACGAAGTTGCAGCATCCTGCTGCCATGTGACCTCCATTTACAACCTTCACTACTGGGTTCCAACAAGCATAATTAATGTTGATGTCACCCTTTACAACCAAGTCACTTAGGGATACAGATTCTGGTCCCAACTAAGCAACTTTGCTTAGTAAATACTACCTTTATGCAATATTTCTGGAATGTTTATTTTGTATTCTTATAAAATAAAATTAGAATGTGTTTTATGTAAACATAAAATATTTGAGATATTTTTATTTATATATTTTTATAAAAAGATTTTCACACTACACACACACACACACACACACACACACACACACAACCTACATATACGCATACATACACACTGTAAATATATTGAAATCCGTTTTGCTGATTTTTGTAAAACCTGTATTCCCCTGGGGTTTTTGTATGGCTGAGGAATATATTGTACAGCTATGAATTTCACTAACTTTCTTTTCTTTTCTTTTTATTAACATTTGTATGCCGCCCACTCCCTTGGGACTCTGGGCGGCTTACAGGCAAGATAAAAGAAACATGTAAAAATTAAAATAAATATACAATTATTAAAATTCCACACCATCCATTCTGTTAGAGTGGGGCTGGATATTGATCAACAGCCCTCTGTTGGTTCACTGCCCATTTTCAAACTATTTTGGATTTATGTATATCTCTTTGGGGAAGTGGAAACCAGTATCATGATAGGTTGTGTGGAATACCATTTCCAAAGAGAAACAAAACCTTTTATCCTCTGAAAAGCCCAGCTCAAAATATCTGAGCGCTAGGAAAATGTGTTTTCCATATTTGACAAACAATATAATAATGAATTTACTAGCAGGCAGTTTGCCAACATTAAAGAGCTGACCTTGTTATTTTGCCTTGTGATATAGTAGTTTCTGCACTCATTGTACTGATGAATAGTTTAAATATTTAAATAATTTAAATACTTTAATATTTCAATCCTTTCTCATATGAATATAGAATTTCTGGAAAAATATAAATCTTCTCAAATACTTCTGCACTTTTAAGGCATTTTGCCCAATCTGGGGCAGAAGTTACCTCAATGTCTCCAAAAATATTAATCCTACTTATTCATATTTACACATTGCAACACTAAGATTATAATTGGAGGAGGGGAACTAAAAATGTTGCCACAGTTTTTATTTCAAATAAATAGTTAGTACAGCAGTTTGATTTAAAACACTTGGCAGCAATCTTTGACAAGCACAAATAAAATCTATGAGGCATTTCAGCATTGTTACACACAGTTCTAAGAGTCTGATTTAATTCTTGGAATTAAAAAAAAAACTTGATTATTCTAAACCAGTACATTATATTTTTCTGTTTTGAGAATGGATATTATACACCCCAAAAGTGATATTGTTGTCTGGAGCAAAGAAGTACAGTACATGTGAAGCTCTCTCTGTTTACAGTCATTCAAATTTACAATGTTATGCTTTCGTTATGGAAACCCAAAGGTGCTTTTTCAAAAGGCAACTGGACTTTCTTGTTTTTCTTTAAAGAGGTTTCTCTTCCCATCGAAGAAGCTTCTTCAGCTCTGACTAGATGGTGGGGAATGGAAGGATTTATACTCCTTGCCGACAGCTGGTCATTAGCATTCTTGCAGACTGTGTTGTAGACTGGAGATAGATGATGTTTTATCCCTCCTCTTCTGTTCAGAGACCGCTGTTCAATTTTCTTCGACCCTTATTTCAAACCAGCGGTCCTCTCTATCCAAAATGTGGACTTTCAAAAGAGTGGCTTTTGTCTTTTAAATGCAGGTGGACTGCTGAATTTGTCCTGATGGACAAATGTTCTCCTATGTTGTGCCATGCATTTATGAAGTGGTTGTTTTGTTTCCCCATTGCATATACCATGTTGCTTAGTTTGTGTCTGAATATTTTATCCTTAGGGTGGACATGCTTCTGCCTTAGTGTA